ATTTTGGCAATATGTTCGTCATTAACTAAAACTAATGATTTATATTTTTCTTTTAATTTAGATAACTCGGAGTTTAACGCATTGGATTTTTCTTCAGAAGTTTTGGACTCAGATTGCAAAGATTTAGCCCAATTCAAATTTCCAGCATTTTCAAGATAAATTTTGGTACATCTTTCTTTTAGCGTTTTTATTTGATCTTCAAAATTATTTGAACTCTCTTTTTCTGATTTTAATTCTTGCTGGAAATTTTGAATATGGATTTTCATCTTGTTAATCTGTTTAATGCATGTTTGATGAACAACTTCATTATTCATGAACTCTTTCTCCTTATAAGTCTCGATGTTCTTTTCCAGCTCAGCAATCTTAGCTCTCAACTCCTTTATGATATCTGCCATTAGAAACAAATTGATCAGTTAAGGATCTATGCAGTGAAATTAGATAAAAGAAATAAGAACAGTTAAGCTCAAAAAGAATAGAAAAAACACTAAAAACTGAAAAACACACACAAAACAGATATACAATGATCCAAAAAAAATCTAAACACAAACAAACGAAGAAACCAAAACAGTCCAAAAAAAAATTATCCAAGTCCAAAAACTGATTCAAGTCCAAACCAACACAATACAGATGTTACACTTTAAAAAAAATGATCTATCTGCTCTCGAAATTCTATCCAAAAATCCACTTGTATGCTTCTCTTATCAGTTCACTTGGGCTGCTGTGACTTGATGTTAATCCCAGAAAACAAAGGCTTTCAATTCTGTTAAATCTGTCCAAAACCAATCCTTGCTATGCCTGAAAACCTTCCAAAGTGTACTTTGATTTACCTGACACAAAAACAGTTGAACAGTCAAATCAATAACATAGTTAGACTGCTAGCTTGAACAATATAGCCAATTCTGTTCCAGTCCTCAAGTTCACAGCACAGATAATGCACAATATTGACTATCAATATTAAATATCAAAATTGCTTCTGTTTCAGACTTCTAACAGCAATACTAAACAATAAAACTTGTTTTCAGCATGCAACAATACTAAACAGTTTACTTCACCTGGGCTGCTGTTTTAGACAGTTTACACAACCTCTAACAGCAAGAACAATCAACTGTCTGCTACTCAAGACAGATACTGCTGTCAAGACCTGCTGTTACAAACACAACAAACACAGTCCCAAAGTGAAGCTGCTGTTTTAGTCTTGTTGTTGTGATACTTGCTGTTCTGTTGTTGCTGTTTTGAAACCTGAGCTGTTATTTTGCTGCTACTCACAATCCCGAATGCAAAACAGTCACTTGTCACCTGCAAACTTCTCACAGAAGGTAAAACAGAATCTGTCACAGAAGGCAAAAGTATAAACCGGACAACCTAACAAAGTAGCTACTGCTGTTTCAGGTTTTAAACTCAATCAATAGACAATCATCCTATTAGAGAACCAAATGAAAGTTGTCTTATTGCTTGGACAGTTTGTTGCTGTCAAACTTGAGCAAAACTAACAGCAAACCAACACTTGAACTGGCCTTAGAAGCTGTTGGACAGAATAGATCTCAACTCCACAAGCACAAATATTTGGAAAATGCAACACTGGAACCTAGGACCAACAGTTTAGATGAAATCTGATCAACAAATCAACAAACAAGTAACAAGTAACCAACAGTTGCTGTTAAAAATGAAGCAATCAAAACCAGGTGCTTCAGAACTTCAAACTCAAAACAGTATTAACCTACTGTAGTACTGCTAGATCAATGAAACACAACTTCAACTATGATGAACAAAGCTACTGTTTTAGTCTGAAAGAGTCTGTCCACTATTGTTGCTGCACAGTCGTAGAAACAGTCACTAAACCTGTTAACAACTTAAACCGGACAGCATGAATGACTTAAAACCTTTTAACACTTGAAACTTAACCTGTTAAGGAAAGAGTATAAACCGGACACAACTTGATACTCAAAATGCACACAACAAATATGACTAAACCGGACAGAACACTTCAAATTAAAAATGGAATATGGATAAGTGAAATTGAACGGTTTAGAAATCCGGACAGAACACTTCGATGCACAAAGATTTCTAAGTCCTAAACCGGTCAAGAGTAATCTAATCCGATCACAAATCCGGACAAGAAGTAAACTGTTTAGTTATAAACCGCTCAAGATTGAAAACCTAAAAACTTACCTGATTTGTGCAAAACATCCGATGTAGCTTAACCGCTCAAGAAATCCGGTCAAGAGGTAAACGGTTTACCTCTTCTCCGCTCAAGCTGCGTGCTGTGTAGATGAACACCGCTTGAGAAATCCGATGAAGTTGTATATGCAGTTTACCCTTAGACTTGAAATCGAATGATAAGAAGAATCAACCGGTGAATAATCCGGTCAAGGCTTGTGTGAATCCGCTCAGCTAATCCGATGAAGCTTTGTACGGTTTACCCTTAGCCGATTGATGCAATGAAGACATACCGGAGAACAATTTTTTTCAACTACACCGCTCAAGATAAATTTCTTCAAAACAAATTTCAATTTAGCCTGTTGGGCCTTAAACCGGTTGGGCCTAAACAAAATTTTGGCCGGTTTAACAAAAATCAACCAAACAAAAAAATTAAAAACAGATCAAAACTATTAAAAACACAAAAACTAAAAAATTTTAACAAAAAATGGATCAAAAACACTGGTTTTAAAAAAATTCAAGAACACGAAAAATTCTAAAAAACATAAAAAACCGATTAATTCTTGAAATGCAATGATCAAATCATAAAACTTTATGAATAACAAAGATTCACAATGCAATTTCGAGCATTTTGATCATGATTTAAACATAAAAACACAAGAATTTTATGAAAACTCGGATCAAAATCTAAAAAAATCAAGAACACGAAGAACAATAAAAAAATTCCAAATTTTTTTTTACTTATCTTCAATTTCTTCCTCTGATTTCTTCCATCCTGCTCTGATACCAATTGTGGAGTCCATTTAACACTGATCAATCTTCGTTTAGCTTCATAACAATGGCAGAATCTTGATATATCTTGTAAGAACACAATATGAACTTTGAGAGGAAAAGTCAAAGCATTCAAACTCAGTCAAACCTCTATTATATGTATCATTACAAATAAGCTCTCCTCTTACTAATTACAAAGACCATCTTCTAGTTATATGGTCAAACTAACTAAACATACTCAAAGTCAAACTTCTATAAGAAAGTCAAACACGCTGACTTTTACAATTATAGACTATATTTAAACTTTCAAGACGAATACAATTAATACTGATTTTTCGGTCCTAACATGTTCCAACAGTCCTATCTGTGCAATGGGTGTGTTGTGGTAGGGATCATTCATATGAACATTGTACTCATAATTCTGAATTAGTAAATTATGTTCAAAACAGATCTAATCCCTACTCTAACTTATATAATGCCAGTTGGAGACAGCACCCGAACTTTTCTTGGAACCGTCCGAGTCTTAATCCACCAGTCAATAAACAAAAAGGAACTTCTAATTTCAAACCACAACATCATGCAAACAGTTCTAACTCTCAGAACCACGAACAAAGTTTGTAGAATTCTCAACCACATTTTCAGACCAAACCTCCTCCACAGGGAGAATCATCATCTTCTTTGGAAGCAATGATCAAAGGGCTTTTAGCACATGCACAAGACCAAAATCAAGCTTTGATAAATCAACAAAGTGCTGCCATCAGGAATTTAGAGACTCAGGTCAGTCAACTTGCACTTAACCAGAGTAGTCGAGCCCTTGGGACCTTGCCCAGTAATACAGAAGTCCCTAGAGATATAGGAAAAGAGCATGTGAAAGTAGTAACTCTTAGGAGTGGAAAAGGGTTGACGGAAAAAGTGCAAAAATGAAGTACGCCAAGACTGTCAAACACTAGTGATCCGGTATTGGTCCCTCCCAAAGAAGGACCGGTCCCACCTCTAGAAAAGCAAACATCTGAGACCACCACTCTTGTTCCCCCTAGATCAGACTTCCCTTTACTTTTTCCAGAAGAAACTCTGAAGAAGTCAGAAGGGACTGAGGTTGTAGAGACCCCTAAGCTTGACACTAAGATTCCACCAGAACCACCAAAGAGCACCATAAAGACTCAGGGCATTCAAGACCCATCTTGCTCAACACCTCCAAGCAAGAATGTGATAAAAACCAATCCCTCCTTATGTKCCTTACCCCCAAAGGTTGAGGAATCAGAAAAAGGAATTGCATTTTAAGAAATTCTTGGATGTGTTTAAAGAATTGCACATCAACATACCCCTTGTTGATGCAATAGAGCAAATGCCTAGTTATGATAAGTTTCTGAAGGATATATTAAGCAAAAAGAAGAAGTTGACTGATTATGAGATTGTAGCGCTTAACGAAGGATGTAGTGCGTTTTTGACCAATGGCATACCCCCTAAGCTTAAAGATCCAGGGAGTTTTACCATTCCTTGTTCAATAGGAGGGAAGGAGATAGGGAAAACCCTATGTGACTTAGGAGCTAGTATTAACCTCATGCCTTTGTCTGTTTCTAACAACTTAGGCTTAGGAGAGGCTAGACCCACCACAGTCACACTCCAGTTAGCAAATAAGTCCATTGCATACCCTAAGGGAAAGATAGAAGATGTGTTGGTACAGGTTGATAAGTTCATATTTCCAACATATTTTATCATATTAGACTTTGAGGCTAATAAGGACATTCCGATTATTTTAGGGAGACCTTTCTTAGCCACCGGAAGAACTTTGATAGATGTCCAGAAAGGAGAGTTGACCATGAGGCTTCAAGACCAAAAGGTCAGATTTAATGTCTTCAACTCCTTAAAATATCCTGATTATCTGGAAGAGTGTTCAGGCATAGCTGAAATAGAAGAAGAGGTTGTTGTGAAAGGAATTCAGGAAAACCTTAAGTTGGAAGAAGAGAGTGTAGAGGAATTAGAAGAAGAGATTGTTGAGGAAATAGAGGCAATAGGAAATGATAATGTGCCAGTAGAGGTGTTAGCCTATGAACTTTTGGAAAATAATGAGCAAAAAGACTTCACCTCGTCCATAGTATCACCACCAGACCTGGAGTTAAAGCAACTCCCATCCCATCTAAAATATGCCTTTCTAGGAGAAGAAGGAAAATTGCCTGTCATTATTTCATCTACCCTAGACTTGCATCGAGAGAAGAAACTTGTGGATATGTTGAAAATGCACAAAAAGGCTTTAGGATAGACCATTGCTGACCTTAAAGGGATTAGTCCCTCAATTTGTCAACATAAGATCATCTTAGAGGATAAAAAATTCACATCCATAGAACCTCAACGAAGGCTGAATCCTGTCATGAAAGAGGTAGTAAAAAAGGAGATTTTGAAATGGTTAGATGCAGGAATTATCTTCCCGATAGCCAGTAGTTCTTGGGTTAGCCCGGTCCAGTGTGTTCCCAAGAAAGGAGGGTTCACAGTCATCACAAATGAAAAAAATGAACTCATCCCCAACAGAGTTGTATCCGATTGGAGAATATACATGGACTATATGAGGCTAAACAAGGCTACTCACAAAGACCATTTTCCGCTACCTTTCATTGATCAAATGTTAGACAGATTAGCAGAAAAAGAGTATTACTATTTCTTAGATGGCTATTCAAGTTACAATCAGATAGCTATTTCTCCCGAGTACCAGGGAAAAACTACCTTCACATGTTCTTATGGCACCTTTGCTTTCAGAACAATACCATTTGACTGTGCAATGCTCCTGCCACCTTTCAGAGGTGTATGATGTCCATATTTTCTGATATGCTTGAAAAATCCATTGAAATCTTTATGGATGATTTTTTTGTATATGGTTCATCTTTTGACAACTGTTTGGACAATTTTAAAAAGAGTCTTGAGAGGTGTGAGGAAACTGATTTGGTCCTCAACTGGGAGAAGTGTCACTTCATGGTTAAGGAAGGAATTGTTTAGGGGCACTTAATCTCTAAAAAAGGAGTGAAGGTAGATAAAGAAAAACTCAAAATTATTGAAAAGCTACCACAACCTACCACTGTGAAAGGAATCAGGAGTTTTTTGGGTCATGCGGGATTTTACAGAAGGTTCATAAAGGATTTTTCAAAAATATCAAAACCTTTATGTTTACTCTTACAACATGACCAAAAATTTTATTTTAATGATGAATGTAGAAATGCATTCAAAACTTTGAAGAAAGCTATGATTACTTCACCAGTGGTTGTTGCTCCGGACTGGAACAAACCTTTTGAGATCATGTGTGATGCGAGCGATTGGGCGATTGGTGCTGTGCGATTGGTGCTGTTTTTAGTCAGAGAAGAGAGAAAGTGTTTCATTCAATTTATTACGCAAGTAAAATTTTGAATGAGGCACAGATAAACTACACCACCACGGAAAAAGAATTATTGGCCGTAGTGTTTGCATTTGAGAGATTTAGATCATACTTGATGGGCACCAAAATAATTATGCATACCGATCATGCAGCCATTAAATGTTTGATTTCAAAGAAGGATGCAAAACCTAGGTTGATAAGGTGGGTGTTGTTATTGCAGGAATTTGACTTGGAAATACGTGATAGGAAGGGTGTGGAAAATCAGGTTGCAGACCATTTATCTAGGTTAGAGAACCCTGAGATAGGAGGAGGTGACATCATAGAAACCTTCCCGGATGAGAGAATTTTGATGGTGCAACAACAAAAGGCACCTTGGTTTGCTGATATATGTAACACCCCCAATCCTTACATTGCATATAACACATATTTTATATAGAGAATACATGTTTTCTCCCACATAGGTTCTTAGTACAAGAGTCTATAATGTAAAATATGCAACCCAAAAATTCCAAAAGTACATGCTCTTGCATCCTAGCATCCATGCTTCCCAAAACAACTAAGCACATAGGGAAGTAATTCACATAATGCTCTTTCCCTTATTATCATTACCTGCACACATATTTTTGAAAACACGCAATGAAGGTTAGACATGAATGTCTAGTGAGGTTCCCTTTTATGTAATGTAGGGTGAAGATCACCAAAACATTTATAAATAATCATTTCACAATATGCGGAATAAAATCATATTCCGTTTTGGTCCATCGAGTCTCTGGTTCCAAACCACACTTGGAATATATTTCAATAACCAGGAGCAGAGCCCCTCTGGTCTCTCTTCCAGAGCTTCTGGTTCCTCGACCAGAGCCTCTGGTTGTACTAACCAGACTTGGAATATATTTCAATAACTTGGACCAGAGCCCCTCTGGTCTCTCTTCCAGAGCTTCTGGTTCCTCGACTAGAGCCTCTGGTTGCACTAACCAGAGCTTCTGGTCCAACGTGTAAGCCAACCAGAGCCTCTCTGGTCTGTTTTTCATAAAAGGATTCTAAGTATAAAATCCTTTTCTTAAAAACTTCTAAAAATATGATTTTGACATAGAAGTTCTTGTCAATAGATACAGAGCCTCTGATCCAATTAATACATTTAGTAAAAACTTGCTCATTCTCCAAATCAATAACCAAAATCCTCTGGTCCGATAATGAGGA